AAAACAGCGGCCAAGAAACTGCAGCTGCCAGCAGATCTGGCAGCAGCCCCTGTAAATGAGATTAGGCAGCACTGGAGGGCTGGGCAGGAAGGGAATGTGGGCTAATGGGATAGGGAAGGAAGGGGGGGCGTTGGTGGCGAAAGACGCTGGTGAGGAAAGTGTGTCACCTTCTTACTCCTTCACCGACAGCAACAGGGAATCTGCCTGTTCCTCTGCCTTATGCTGGACACTTCACGTGTATTTTTTTCAGTGAGAGCTAGGGAGAGCTTGTGCCGTGTTGGCACTGCAGACCTCTCCGAGCAGCGGAACGGAGAGAGCAGAGAACGAGTCTGTTCCAGCCAGATAGGAAGGAGCCCTCAGGACACCCTCAGGGTTGTTTTGCTATGTCCCAGGCAACTGCCTAATTTGTGAAGGCCTAGCATTGGCCGTGATAAAAGAAAAAGATCAAGTCTGTAAGTCTTACTTCCCTACCACATATGGACAAGAATGCTTTGATTTTCCAAAAGGGTTGAAATGCTCAGAATTCAACATCCACAAGAACACAAGATACTTAAGCAGTTAAGCTTTGGGATATTCCCAGTTGAAAGTGTCTTTTCTGAAAACAGTAACTCTTATTACAAGGATGATCTTGCAAATGAAGTCGTCGTCGTCTACCGTGCACTGCACCTCATGGAGTGTGCACTGGTAAATCATGCAATTCAGGCACAGAGGTTGCCATACATACTGTGTCATCTCCATTCTTACTTCTTCTACCTTTCTCACATCTTAAAGAGACTCCAATCAACACTATCCTGCTAGAATTTTGCCATTATCAACTAACGCAACTACTTTTAACTGCTCTTCCTTTTTTTCCGAACTTTGCAGAGGCCTTCAGATCCTTTAACAGAGAATGTGAGAAATTAGCTAGGGCAACAACAGGGAGTCACAGTGGCCACAACAAAATAAAGAAGAAAGGACAGGGCTGATCTGGACTTCTTGGAGAGCGGAGGAAAGGAAGACATAAGCTTGATAATGGCCATAGAACGAACACCAGAGTAAAGAAAGATAATCTCCAATTTAGGAATAGGAATGTTCTTCAGAGAGAGTAGTAAGAGGCAAGATGGCACAAGAGAGAATAAGAATCAACAACTCAGTTCAATGAGATATACTGGCAGCAAAGGAAAGGAGCTCTGTAGCAGACAGGCACCGTATGCCTCAACTTTTATAGAGGAGAATAATTTAGTATGTCACAAGGAAAAGACAATGTGGAAAAAATGGCACGGACGAGAGAAATCTGGAGTTCTGAGGTAGAAGAGAGATCAACACAAGTGAAAGAATTCAACAGCACAAGAGGAAAGTGAAGAAGCACCAATGGTGAAAATAGTGGGCAGAGAAAATTATGAAACTAAAGAATAAACAGAGAACTGAGAAAAGACTTGTTTCCCATTAAAATCCACTTGATGTACAACAGCATCTTGATAAGGCTAAGCAATGAAATCCGAATCAAAATATTAATCTTCCAACAGACCCTGTGATTCAGTCCAGTCCACTGTTGAGAAATGGGTACCAGCAATAAAGATGTCAGTCTATAATTTCCCTAGCTTTCACACAGACGTCCTAAATGAGCAGCACTGCAGCATTCAGATCTCACAGATTTGACTATGTAAGACTGACAGGTGCACTGGAAGTCAAGCGAAATGCCTCTCAAGATCTGTTAAGGACACAGGTGACACCCTTGTGGTGGTATGGCATCAAAATAAACTCATAATCTTATCAGACTGATGTTTAAATTTCCTTTTGAGAGTAAAAATGGGAACTGCACAAAATACGCTTTAAATGCAATTTCACCCTAAAAGAGGGATAGGAGGAAAATCATTAAAAATACTGACAATATACGTATTATTTGCATTTGTTCTGCCAGCCAACACTTAACATAGTAATTGTATTAAAGGGCATAAAAATCAAACATTAGCAAGTTTCCAATAAAGTCATATATTTGTTTTCTTACTCTGCCTCATCTTGTTACTAATCCAAGTGAAAAAAAAAATAAAATACCAGAGAAAATTAAACTCTTTTGTACTGCAGTTCTTGGACTACAAGCATGAAGTTGTTTACAAGATGACTCCAATCTACCTATTTACTATAAGCTATTCAGCAAATGGATTTTGGCAGGGGTTATGTGCCTTTGAAAAACTCCCCAACAAAGCTGACTAATTTAGGCAGCAACATTTCCAAGCTTTTATTTTCTGAGAATCTCTTCAAAACTAAAGGCAGAGGTATCTCCAACTGAGTTAGATTTTGGCTATGCTGCCTCCAATCTTGCATTTGCTTTAATTTTGCTTTAACCATTCTGATTAATTTCACAAATAAAGTAAAATATAAAATCTTATACTAGTTAGGCGAGGTTTATATATTTTCTTTGAAAATAACCAAATTTCATTATCATAAGTGAAGTTCCAAAGCAAGCAGGCAGACAGAGCAATGACTTGGACCTACTGAAGTCAATAGGTGTTTGTCCAGTAACGTCAAAAGGAACTATATTTCACACGCAGTCTTTAATCTTGTCCTCAGAACCAGAGGAATAACTCAAATATCCCAGTGAAGTGTCTTATATCTACAGACTTGCTACACTTAAGCACACCAAAAATTTTTCCACTTCACCAGCACGTCCACTATCAAAATGAAATAGAAGCTCTAAACCCTGAAAGAGTTAAACAACAGAATTTCCTTTTTGTCACCATTTTGCGGTGAAAGAGACCCTGGGCAGGACTACTTCCATAAATGCAAGTAAAAAGAAAAGAATTTCCTTTAAAGATATGTAACTGGATAATCTCATTCTAATGCAGTTGGATGTGTTTGTTCAATAGCCTATAAAAGGCTTTAATTCATAAATTACTTACACATCTTTCCCATGTTGAGAGTCATCACTTATCTCATACACAACCAGCATTAGCATCCCCAGAAAGCATAGTCTGCCAGAAGAGGAATGGCCTGTTTCAAAATGCAAGGCAAAACTCCTCATTAATAAAACAAAGATTATGGGAAAGGCTGCCAAGGGGCAGCTTTATCTAACGAGGCAGTAAAGTACACATGATGTAGCAAGGTGGTGACTACATTTTCTGCATTTGCTTTGCATTGTCAATACAACTCAAGTATTCCAGTAACATCATATATACGTGGCACACATAACACACAGGCATTTTTAAGTCAAAATAATATGTCAGGATGTATATGACAGTCTATCTGGATGTGAAAGAGATCAGGATTTTGTTGTCTGTCCTGCTGACCAATGCTGTAGCATTATGTCCGTATGCTGCCTATATCCATCAATTTCTCTCTTGTCTTATGCCTAGACTGAATGTTCCTTGGAGTAAAGACATGCTGTGCAAACTCTTAGCACAGCATGATCTTGTTCCATGACCAGGTCTTTAAAACATTACAGCATTATAAACAATCACATTCAAATTCACTAAAATAACACAAACATTCTGGTTAACTAGGCTCTAAACACCAACATGAGTTAAGACTGTGCTACCTTAGAGTATAAAACCCAGATTTTTTTCCGCTAGCCTGGTTAAGCGCAGAGATGGTCTGTC